ACACACACACACACACACACACACACACACACACACACACACACACACACACACCAAAAAAACAACCAAACAAAAAACCAACCCACCAAAAAACATACACCTCATTCTATTCCGGGGTTTCCCCTTATAGCTCTATAAATCACCATTTTCCTATGTACCATGTCTCTTCTCTATCCAGAGGCAGTCTTTTGTTCCCCAGAACAAATATCCCACCTTCCTCTTCTTCCTATACTCCTGGGTTTGTCTCTTATTCTCTGGTCTCTGTCCCTGTGGTACAAATAAATCTCCTTTGTGCTGAGAACGTGGTCTTGGGGGTCCTGAGCTGATACCTTTCCTAATATTTCCAGTCATTTGAAACCAAACCAAACTCCAGTCAATACCTCCAATCATGCTTACCCAATACTGCAGGAGTGCTTCAATAGCTCTGAACTCAAACGGTAATGGGTATGTGACAAGCTGACCTTCCCCAGCCAGCTGTGATGGCAGCTCCCGAAACAGCCACTGTTCCAAGTTTAAATTCCGATAATCTAGTATTAGAAGACACTCCGGAGTTATCACAGCCTTCAAATACTGGAAAAGCAACAGAAAGAATGTTTGTGTACACACACATACAGATGCAAATTATCAAGCTACAGGAAAAAGTAAATTCATTAAATTGAATTTACTTTACTAATTTTGGACTAAAACTAAACCAAACCAATATTTATTTGGTTTTCTAAAGGTAAGGGCTTTTTTTTTTTTTTTTTTTTTTTAGGCAGCTATTAAAATCTATCCATGTCTCGATAATTCTAAGCTGCTCTCAGAAGTAGAATTACACAGATTAGATGCTTACTAAGAGTCCAGCCTGGTATGGCACAGATTTGTACCCACAATCCCAGCACCTGTGAGGTGGAGGAGAGATGTTCAAGAACATGCTCAGCTACAGAGCAAGCTCAAGGCCAGCCTGGTGGACGTGAAACCCTGTCTCAAAAAACCCAAACCCAAAGCACGACCTCTGGCAGGGCACACAAGAGAAAACAGGGACTACATGAAAAACAATTCTCTAATCAACCATGCAGGGGGCTCAGAGGGCCAGTGCCTGTATGCAGCACTTGGGAGTTGAGGTGAAGGCTTCGGTCTAAAGAGAACAAGATAAACGTGCAGATCCCATCATAAAGCTGCCTGCACGAAGAGCTCTAACTCAACAGTATAACTTCCTTCCCGCTTCTCTATTACACAGACGCCAGCGTAAACCGTAAGGAGGAGTGCTTGCTCTTGTTCTGGCATTCTCACTTTCTCTGAACCCGCCTACCGAGCCCCACATACAGAGGCTTTGCCAGCAGTCACGGCTGACCTGCTTGCTTTCCTGGGCCCCAACTCAAAGGGCACAAGGAACTCTTTCTCTACATTAGATTTTATTCATTTTCTTTCATGTGTGTTTTGATGTACATGTATCACCTGCATGCCTGGTGCCTGTGGAGGTCAGAAGAGGGCATCAGATCACCCGGAATTTGGATTTTGGATAACTGTTAACCACTATGTGGGTGCTAGAAATCAAACCCAGGTGCCCTGCAAGAGTAACAAGTGCTCCAGCCATTGTGCCATTTCTCCAGTCAGATTATTTCTCTTTTTATACATTCCCTTCCTTCTGATATCTGCTCTGTTGTTTTCTCCTCCCTAACTGCAGTAAAATGGTCCTTGAGCTTTTTAAAAAAGGTCAAGTTTTGGCAGACTTTTAGAAGTGATTTCGTTTAAAAGTGTGGCTCATATGGAAACTATTCCTTTTGAAGATAGTACCAATTTATTGAATTAATTTGAAATTACAAACAATAGCCTCAGTGCCTAAAACTACAACAGTATGAAATCAGAAGATTTTCTAACTAGGTGTGAATAGCCACAGTTGCATTTGAGAGATGTGGAAGGCTGGAGAGTTGGTTCCGTGGTTAAGAGAACTGGCTGCTCCTTAAGGAGACACACATCACTCCCAGCACCTACATGGCAACTCACAATCAGTGTAACTCCAGTCCCATGTAGCTGATGTTGTCTTCTGGCCTCCAATGACACTACATGCATGTGGTACACAGACATATACACAGAGAGAACATCCTTACACATAAAATCCATTAAATTTAGATTAAAGGACAAAAATCTGATCAAAGACGAATTTAAAAAGCAAGTACATGCATAAATATCCTGATTTTTTTTTTCATGTAATTCCAGAAACTATAGACTAAATTCAAAGGCCAATGAGGGCCACAGTCAGAATTTCCCCAGCACAAGAGAGCAGCAGCATGCCTGTTGATCTTATAACAGAATCCATGCAAAATGAGCCCTACTCTTACAGAGCATTCAGTAACAAAAACCCCACTTCCTTCCAAAGTTTCTTTTTCTCTTTCTTTGTTTCTTTCTTTCTTTGTTTCTTTTTCTTTCTTCCTTCCTTCCTCCCTTTCTTTCTGAGACATGGTTTCTTTACATAGCCCTAGCTGTCCTGGAACTTGTTATGTTAACCAGGCTGGCCTTGAACTCACAGAGATGTGCCTGCTTCTGCCTCTGAGTGTGGGGATTAAAGGCATGCATCACCACCCACAGCTTTGCTAAGTTTCCTTTTGTCTATACACTGAGAGAGGCAGTCAGTTCTCTGTGGTGAACACAGCAGTGAGGCTCTTACCTCCATCCTCATGATGATCCTGTTGTTCCTGGTAGTGATGCTCATCACGTGCTGAAACCTCAGGTCTCTAGCCTGGAGTGCTAACTCATGGTACAACTCAGTTTTCTTCCTCTCTATAGGAGAAACAGAGTGGGTGAAACTAATAACCGGAACAGCATGGGCTCCTGGCAAGCTCTCTCCCAACTGAGCTACAATTCCAGCCCATAGCCATTTTTTTCCTTGGGGATGGATTTTATTAACTAGTGTTTTGCCTACATATATAGGCGTGCCTCCCATCCTGGTGTCTGTGGAAGCCACAATGCTGCATTGGATCCCCTGGGAATAGTTACTGATGGTTATGAACTGCTGTGTGGGTGCTAAGAATTGAACCTAGCTCTTATTTGCTGAGCCATTTCTCCAGCCCCTACATTTTCTATTTTTACCACTACAGAATCATATTCAGTGTTGTAAATCTGTGTATGGAATGAATTTGGTAATTTATTGGAAAATAAAAACTATAAGAAGTCAATATTCACAGCAGATTTTCCTACCTGGAAATTAAGAATATAGCAGATGGAGAAACTTGTGACAGGCTGGGAGGGGAGTATCTGTACCTGCATAGGAAACCATACCTTCCACCGGGCTATAAGCAGAAAAGCTTAGGAAACAGACTCTGGCGCAAACACAAGGATCTAAACAAGGTTGGATTGAACCACGGGGCTGCAGGGGTGAGGTGAAACTGGAGTCTCTAGCCATTCAGTACAGAAACACAGGAAAATCGCATACAGCCTGACAGTCCCACAAGGGCTGATGAGCAAATGCTGAGGAGGGACCTCCTTCAACAAAAAACACTGTACTCCTATAACCATGATTCCCAACTCTTCACCAAATTTACTAGTCCACTGCTAAAGATACTCACCAAAAGAGGTCACATTTCCTTCTTTGTCAAATTTTGTCTGAAGATAGATCATAAAAACAAATATCAAATAAATCTCAATTCAGTGTATTCATGTACTCAGTTGCAAAAGTCAGAAAAAAAAAATACCATTTCTAACCCCTTTGCTAACATAAACCTGAGAGTAGACTGACTTTCTATCTTGGTTCCTCTAGACATCCACTCATGGAGAATCAGCCCTATGTCTAGGTAACCTTGCTTTGGTAACAGTGGCCTGTGAGTGGACGGCATTAACCTGGACATGCTCTTAAGCCTGTGTGTTCATTGTGGGGGCCCTGGAAGTGTGTTTCCAGAAGACGTGGGGACTGAAAGCCATGGGCCTCCCATGCTTCTCTGCGAATCCATCTGCATCCAAGTTATCAGTGAGCAGACTAGGGAAGCCTGGAAAGGCTGCAAGGACCTTTTGGCTGGAAAAGGATGTGGCAACAATCCCTGGGTTGGGGACATCACTCAGTGGAAACACGATGCTGCCCTGCCTTGTTTCTGAGAGTGGCTGTGTCACAATCCTAAGTGTCTTCTCGGAGCTAAGAAGTCTCTGGAAGGCACTTCAGCAGTCCTAGCACACAGCCGGCCAGATTCTACTCAGTCACAGTTGAAGGTGTCAAATGTGAATACAGGGGCTCTTCCACTTTAGAAAGTAAACACCATCCATGCACTGATCTTAGTGAAACTCAGAGCCTGGGTTACTGCTTTCAACACAATGTGTACTATGTTAGCAGAACCAAAATAAACTCAACAATGCACACTTTAGCCTGCTTCTCATGAGAAAGCTCTGATCAACAGGAGGAGGGAAGCAGCAGGAAACACCCAGGTCAGTTCTTAACAAAAGCTTTGTATTTATGTAATACAAACTGGCTTGTATTTAGATTTATTTCTGAAACACATCTACTCACTGCAGAAAATAAAAAATTTAAGACTACTTATATCACATGATTTGAAAATTTTAGAGCAAACTATGCCAATAATAACTTAGAGGTTATCTTCCAGTGAGTCAGCTGTCATTTGAGCAGCCTGCTCTGTATAGCTAGAGCCCCAGTCGTTAGTAAAGCTTCAAGAGTACTAATAAAGCCGGGTATGGTGGTGGTGCACACCTGCAATCCCAGCACTTGGGGAGGCAGAGGCAGGCGGATCTTTGTGAGTTCGAGGCCAACCTGGTCTACAAAAGCCAAGGACATCCAAGGCTACACAGAGAAACCCTGTCTCAAAACACAAGCGCACACAAAGAGTACCACTAAACCAATCTCTCAGGCTCTTGGCCAAATGTAACAAAAGACAAATACTTTTGCCAACTTAATAAGCATGGAAAATGCTTCTTACAAGTTATTGGATGCTATGAACTCACCACAGCAAACACCTGGGCCACGCTGGCTAATGTAGCTTGAGAGGCATCAGAGGTTCTAAACCGGTGCCCATCTCCTGGTAAAAAGAAATGAGAGAATGACTGGTTTCCAGGAAGCTCAACTGCAACTCTCACAGTATACGGAGCCTTCGGAACACTATGTGTTTTGAAGCTTTTCCTACTGCAAAAAAGGAGCACCTGTTTTGTTAGGATTCTCTCCTCATCATTCTGTCCTTATTCCTTCCCGCTACTTTCATTTACTGTCACACAACTTGTTAAATGAGGTCTGTCCTTTCTCTATGATTGGAAAGTTCAGCTGGAGCTGAGGCAATCAGTGCCTGTCTAATACTAAGGTGCACACGGGCCTGGGCTTTGTCCCAAGCGCTGCCCAAAAGTGAAAAAATAAAAGTTTTTATTTGTTTATTGAGTGAGTATGAGCACTGTGGAGGTAAGAAGTCACCTTGCAAGTATTTATTTTCTCCTTCCGTGTAAGCTCTAGGGACTGAACAAGCATTTAAGGGGAGCAAAGCTCCCCTGGCTGTCTGCTTGCACACTCTTTAAGAGCAGACTTCATTAAGGGTTAATGCTCAACACAGGCTTCAGATTCTTCAAGCCCACTTCTAGAAATTCTCCACTCTATACCAGGGCAACTGTGCAACTGTGTAGATGTACCCAGAAGAGAAATGAGTAATATTCCAGTCTTGCTAATCATTGTAACTCGTGCTATCCAACTTCGAGTTTGGTCTGGGATCCACAGTGAGTTCCAAGGCAGCCTGGGCTAGTTGAGACCACGTCTTAAAACAAACAGAAAACCCCACCTAACAGAATTCTGGGACACAGAAAGCAGGAGAGAGGACTGACTCCGGCAAGCTGTCATCTGACCTCCACACACAAACTCAGAGAAAGGCACACGCTCGCTCGACAAATACTTAAATGCTAAATTTAAAAACAGTAACCAAACAAACAAAAGTAGCCTAACGAGGCGGTTAACGCTCTTAACTGCTGCATTCAGAAGGGTGAGACAGGAGAACTGTTGTCAGTTCGCGGCCAGTTTGGGCTTACACTGAGACCCTGTCTCAACAAATGAGAAACCGCAATCAAGTCCTCCCAAGGGCTGGCTTGAGAGCTGCGGCGGGGTGAGCCCGGCAGAGGACAGCAGAGCCAAGGGCAGGCGGAGCCCCTCGGGACATGCGTACCGGAGGCGTGGGGCGCGCTGGGCGCCTTCTGGCTCCCGAGCAGCCGGGTGGCGCGGCCGCCGCAGGCCGCGGGGCTCAGGCGCGCAGCCGCGGTACGCAGGGCCCGCCGGGACTGCGCGGCGCGGGGCAGCAGCCGGGGCAGGCAACGCAGGCATTCCATGGCGCGCAGGCAACCGCAACCCGGCCACAAGACACCGGCCCGGCATGCCGGAACCCGCGTACGGACCGGCACCGCGACAGCCGCGCACCGCGCCTGCGCGAGCCGTCCCGCGTCTGCGCGCTGCTGCCTGCGCATGCTCAGGCATGGGCGACCTGTGCGTGCGCCCCATGTCCCGTGACCGACGTCGGAGTCTGCGTCTAGTAGCGCGGCGGGCACCTGCAGGTGTGAAGGTAGAGAGGCCACGGTAGCTCAGCTCTGGAAGTGTCCGTTACGTTCAGGAGCTGCGAATTGCTGCTTTCTGGAAAGGTTTCCTATGTATGATGAAACACATAAATTGGAGATGAGGAAGGTACCACCATTCGTAAATCATTTAAGTTTTAAGCTTAATGTGTTAAAACTCACCTAGAAGGGACGAGGAGTTAAGCTTTTGCCACAGAACAGGGGAAAAAAAAAAAAAAAAACAAAGCGATTGGAGTGTTGGGTGCGTGCTCGTAATCCCTCAAGAATTCAAGGTCATTCTTAGCGATAGTGTAAGGTCAGCCTGCACCACTTTAGATCCAGTTTTTAGAGCCCCTCACCCCGCCCCCCAAAGAAAAATGTGTCAGTAGATTTGGTACCCGTGCCCACAGTTCTATAGACAGACATGAGTTTCAGGGTTCCCTTCACTAATATATGGACATAGACCTATGAACGTTGAACCATTTATCTTGCCGGGAATCAGGTTGATGTAATGGGTAGCCGTGGACGAAGGAAGGCTTCCAGAAGAGACCATGGATGTTTGACTTGGACACTGAGAGCTAGGAGTACTTTAAACATTTCTGCTAGGAAGAGCCTTGAGTGTACAGAAAGTACTTGATAGGATTTTCATCTTACTAGAATTTTAATGTGCTAAATCTTGGAAAAAATATTACGTGACAGGAAACACTCCTTTGAGAAAAATAACTACTTAAAAAATACCGCTGGCCCCACCATGACGTGACCTTTGCAAAACCTTAGGCAGATGCTCGAAGCTGTTCAGATACATGGTCTTTGGAGTTAATGGCAAGGAAATTGGAATTTAAACTGAAAAGAATGAAAGCCGTTGGGAAATCGTGAGCAAAGAAATACAGAGTGGCAAATTAATAATCTGATTTGTGTTTATTTGATTTTTAAAAGCAGCTTAATGCTGACGGACATTGAACACAACACCTTGTACAAGTGAGGTGAGTGTGTGCTCAGCACTTGGGAGGTAGAAGGAGTAGGATAAGGAATTCAAGGTCATCCTCCTCTGGTTGCTGATTTGAATCTAGCCCAAGCGCAAGAGAGTCTGCCAACAAACAAAAAAGCACAACAAGCCTGTCATGGGGAAGCACGCCTTTAAGTCCAGCACTTGGGAGGCAGAGACAGGAAAAGCTCTATGAGTTCCAGGCCAGGCAGGACCACACGGTTACTGAGGCTTCCCATAAAAGAGTCACATTTAAGCATCTGTAGAGGCGTTATTTGTGCAGCTATCATTTCCGCATTTTATAGAGAAAGCAGGAGGGTCAGAGTTCAAGGCTATCTTCAGTTACACATTGAGTTTCAGCCCCGACAGGCCACACTGAGACTTTGTCTCAGACAGACAAAATAAAACTATGGCTGATATCCGATGTTGGTGGCTTTTGGAGTTACAGTGCCCAAAATATTTAAAAGATGAAGTGAAAAGCTTTGGTGTACTTCTTTTTCCTAAAGATCTTTTCTTTAGGAAATAAGATCCTAAGATGATTATGAGGGTGTGGCCGAGGTTAATAGGCTGAGCAGATGAAAGTGAAGGTCAAAAGGTTAGGGAAGTCTGGACAAGGGGAAGTCAAAGCATGCTTGATGACAAGATTGTAATGGTGTTTCTGAGATATCCTTGACTTCCAGATAACGGCTGAGGAATTCTTTTCCAACTCCAAGACCTCTTAGTTTCCCCTTTCTTTCATTCCAACTTTAATTTCTGCCTCCAGGACTTTAATTCCTTAAGGGCCAAGGATGTCCTCATTCTTGGGAGAATGGAATGAGGTCTATGTTTGGAGTTCAGAGGATTATCATTCCTTGGTAATCTGAAGAAGGGGTGTTGTTACTCAGGACCCCAAACTCTGTGAACAGTAAGCACACTTTAAGGTATCCAGTCCTAAAATTAACACCAAACTCAGGACTTTTTTCCACCATGAAGTCTTTGAAAAGAAAGTCACTACAAATTAAGGGTGAAAACAATAGCATAACAGATTATCTGAACAAAAGACAAAACAAAAACCAACCAAACAAAAACACCTATAGCATTTTATCTGGAAAAAAGAATCAACAAACCCATGGCAAGCTGGTGTGGTGGTCTATGCCTATACCCTAAGCCCTGGGGAAATGGAAGCTGAGCAACATAGTGAGGCCAGACTCAGACACATAGTGAGTTCAAGGCTAGCTTTATCTTTAAAAAAATCAAGTTGCTGGTTCACTGTTGCCGCCCTGCAGAGGGGATCTATCTTATCTTGTATCCTATCTGAGACTCTACACTGTTGAACTCTTAGCCACCAGACATGGTTGGACAACAGGATCAGTTTCCAGAGTTAGGACTTACACATCCTATTCAGTACTTCTGAGCTGCTAAGCTCAGAGACCCCTCAAGTCTTTTGTTCTTTGGGGTTGCCTGGCAAAAGCTTATTAAAGATTTAACAGATCTTTTGGTTTGGGGCATTCTGAGTTATTATTAGGTTCCTATACAATTTCATTTAGAAAGGGGTCATAAGCTATTGAATAAGTCAGAGTACAAAATTAACATTTTACATGACACATTAAGAAATACCCAGGGAATCCTGATGTGGTGGCACACGCTTTTAATCCCAGCACTTGGGGAGGCAAAGGTGGTTGGATGTCTGTGAGTTTGAGGCTAGCCTGGTCTACAAATCGAGTCCAGGACAGCCAAGGCCACGACAACAACAAAAAACAGTGGGAAATAAAACCAAAAAGAGGAAGAAAAAAAAAAAAAGAAGAGGAGGAGGAAGAGGAGAAATACTCAGGGTACTTTCATCTTCACCTTTAGTTTGAAGGGTCCTCCACCAGGAAGCCCTGGGCTGCTTTCATTATCCAGGGCAGCCATCACTGGAACTGAAGAGCTCCTTTGAGAGGGCTGGGCATTCTCCCATACAGTGTTTTCCTCTTCTCAGAGGTGAAAGATCCCTGTTTTCTTAGGACCTGTTGAGGCAGCTGTTCTCCCTCTTCATTGCTTTCTGCAGTGGAGGGAGCCATTTGCCCTTTCAGCATGTTCATCTGCCTGGAGTTCCACCGTACTAGGAACTTCAGGTGGTTCTATTAGTTTGGCTTCCGGTGAGGGCTCCCTTGTTTGCCGGGAGCCATGCATGCAGAAAGGGCCTGTGGCAAGCAAGTGTGCTTCCTAGAGGCAGCACACTGTTTTTTGTTGTTATTGTTGTTTTGCTTTTTTCAAAGCTAAACAATGGGTGAGCCCTGGATCCAAGGGACCTTGTCTCTGGGTTGCTTCCTGTTGATATGCCTTTCCAGGCTTCTCATTGCTGTATTTCTCATATATCTGGCATTGTGTAGAGATAACTTCACTACCTATGCTCTGGTGTAATTGCTTCTCTTTGCTGGGCAAATTTTCTGCAGAATCAATACGAAGATGATTTTGTAATTTCTGATAATGATTTTATGGAATTCCTGATTTGACTCAAATAATTTTACACCCTCCTCATATGGCAAAGGCTGAATAAAGAGCCTGCAAACCTTCGCATGTCACTGACACATCAGCTGCACTAGGAGATCAGATTTGAGACAGATTTATGATCTAAGGAAAAAATTGATCACAAATTGTTGTTGTACATTTAAAATATATTTTATTTACACTTCTTAATAACTCTTCCTCCCTACTCCACCCCATTCCCTTCCAACACCCCAATACCAGGTAGGAGAGAAAGGTTAGTGGGGAGAAGGGGCATAGCTTTCCTTAGCTTCTTCCTGCTGGTTAAGGTCATCTGGTTCCTTGGGGCAAGTGCAATCCTTGTTTCAGAACATCTCCAACCTCTTCTCATCCACTTGTATCAACAGCAACCAGGAACAGCAGCGGGGAAGTACCAGCAGACTTCTTTCTTAGAGGCCCCTCAGCCCTCTGGGCTCTGGCCTGTATTCCTTCTCCAGAGTCCTCCATTTAAACTGTCTGCAGTTGGCAAAGAGCCCCTCTCAGAGCTTGCATGAGGCAAATAGTTTGCTGCTACGGACAATTTGAATCAGTCCCATATCCCACACTTGGGATTAAAACAAAAACATGTTTATATATCACAAACACAAACTTCCACAACAACAAATCCTGTGTACACCATGAAAAGTAAAAATTATAGCTTTAAACTTATAATGAACTCATGGAGCTAAGACATGGTTAAAGTATGTTAAGTTAGCTATGAGTGAGTATTAATGGAAAGACATCTAAACAATAATCTTGCTATAATCCCTTGAGATCCTGTTAACCTTAAATCTTGTTAACCTATGATATGAAAACCTATGTCATGCTGCTCTGAACTCACAATGAATTTGTAGTAAAATGAAGACATAGATAAGAAGTGTTTAATTAGGTATGAGTCTTAAAGGAAAAACATGTAATCCATAATCCTTCTGTGTAATGAATTTTGTGATAATTGCTTTTATGGCCATGAGGTAACTTTTTTTTTTTTTAATGTAGAGTACTGTGCTTACAGGACATAAAAGGCACCAAGAAATAATAAACATTGTTGGTTGGAGCTGGGTCTTCTGCTCCATCTACTATCCACCAAATATGTGTCTGTCTGATTGTCTGTCTGTCTGAAGTGTTAGAGCTTGCCTTGCTCTATGCCCCAACAACTGTGTGTATGTATGTATATATTTGTATATGTGTGTACATGTATGTGTAACAATGTTAAAGCTTGAGAAACTTGCTGATTGGAGCCTCTCTGCTTCATCCATTGAATCTGTGTGTCTGAGTCCATGTTTTTTTTTTTTTTTTCTTTCTCACTGGAGGAACTGATTTTTTAATAAGCTAATCTGACTCCATGACAGGCTTCAGAATTGGCTTCAGACCAAACAGGCCTGAATTTCTATTTCTCAAAACAGTGCAT